GCTTATAAACAAATATAATGTCTTTTGTATGTTAAACTTCTCCAACTCTCCCATCTAATAATGAGGGATTTTTACCTCAAAAATGATAATTTAGAAAACATATACTATGCTTAAAGAGAAAAACACATTCTTAAAAATTAAAGCTAATGAAGTATAACAACAAGAACAAAAAAATCACAAATATACAAATTCTAGCATAAGTTGTTTGAATAAGTATGCCCCCAAAAAGCTATCTAAAAACGCTTTAGAAAGAAGATTTCTACACATCAGGACAGGAGTGGTGTGGTATGGTATTATTTCCATTCCCATCTAATATTAGGTAATATTTTAATTTGAATTTATCCAAAGCTAAATTGTTTTCTTCAACATAAATTTGAGAGAGTTAAGAGAGTTTCATAAAATTGATGGTTCCTAGGCTCTAGCAATCAAAAATTAACCAAATCCTAAAGAATGAGTTTGTCTGCCAAACAGCTAACTTAGAAATAAATCTATCTGATGTTCCTTAAGGAAAATTAAAAACAGATGAAATTCTAAAACGGATCCTAAGCAATTTCAAATCTGCTAACATATTAATTTAGCTTCAATTTGCACTGTATTAAAACTTGGGCTGAAATTTAAAAAGATGATCAATTTCAGGGTTTTGATGGAGCGCTATATAAGAGTAAGGGAGAAAGATCAGTGTACTTGCTGGAAGACAGGTGTGAGGTAAGCAAGGAACAAGCATTCAGAAGCCAGGTGAGCTGTTTAGAGCCCAATGAACAAAACTGATTACAGATATGTAGCCTCTGAAGCACATATTTAGGATTTTGATAAAGCACAGGCAAACACAGGTTCCAGGTACACAAGCTATATGTATAATCCAGGAATCTGTAAAGAAGGAATTCAAAGGTCAAAGTCTGATGGGATGGGATAAGGACTGGGTCCGGCCCTGGTCACAGGAGCATGAAGGTAGTGTAGGTGAGGTGGGCGCAAGTAGAGATGAGAAGAACAGAAAGTGGAGATGAAGAACCCTAGTCCCAGAGGAAACCAATCACAGAAATCAAAACTCGGGCTTGCAGACACTGAAGACTCAGACAAACAGAACTAGTGATAGATCCTAGACAGATCTCCCGGACACCAGGCAAAAGAATGCAGACAATAACAGGCTGAACATGGCACAGGCACACCAACAACAAGCTGCTTTGATGCTAAGCCGAGCAACTGAAGTAGGGGTGTCTTTTGGGGGGATTCTAGCCTTAAACATGAAGGAGACCAGGCTATGGACATCCTTGCCAAGAATGTTCTTTATTTTAAGTTTGCAGGTTCACGTTTATTTTGCTACAATCTCATGGTTTGGCATACCCTGTTCTTCCCTTTCGTTCCCCTAATCATTTCAACTGGGCTGGTAATCCCTAATGAGCATCTGGGGAACAATGACACCTACTGTTCGAGTCACTGCAACTGCAATAAACTTGCTAAGTGGGATGGTGGCGGGTGCAGATTTGCAGCTACTCTTTCCTTCCTTTGCAAAAAAGGACAAATGGCTCTGCGGCGATTTAGGTTAGGTTGGAGAAGTACTGCAATTAGAGAAGACAGAGTTGATCTCACAGAAGATATTTGATTTAGAATAAAAATATATGAGTGTGTGTCTATTTATAACAGCCCTACCTTACTGCAGAAAGAACTGAAAGCAATTGAAATGTACAGTAGATTTACATGTGGTTCAGCCATGACTGTTAAAAGAGAATATCCAGGCCGGGCGCGGTGGCTCACGCCTGTAATCCTAGCACTCTGGGAGGCCGAGGCGGGAGGATCGTTCTGAGCTCAGGAGTTCGAGACCAGCCTGAGCAAGAGCGAGACCCC